GGAGCGAAGTAGGTTTGACTGCGGATAATGAAAAATATAAAATTGAAATTATTTAGAATAGACAAAGTTATTTTCAAAGCACAAAAATAATAGCCTATTAAAATCTATAATTAATGTAATATGGAATTTTGTTTAAAATTAAGTCAGATGCTGTAAGAATACTATTTTCTGTAGACTAACAAGAATTAAATAAATAAATATTCTCAAAGGAGTTAGCGACAAATGTCGTGCTGCTATCGTAACTTTGCGACATTTAAAGCACACGGCGGCGAATTGCGTTTAAAAACAGCGCCCCAGTTATTTATGGTTAAGTAGTTTTTAACGATATAACGGCTTGTTTGAACCGTATTTAAGATTTCCGCTAACAGCCTACTGAGTACTTACCCAAAATATTTGCTGCTACTGCCTTCACGCCACTAGCATCTGTACCAGCAAATTCTGCCGCTTGCTGCTGCGGCACTTGAATGCTGCTTGCAACTTGTCGGGGCACTTGTGACGCTTGACGATTATTTGTTGTAGTGTTAGTTGGCACTTGAGGTGGTTGTAGTGTTGTTGACTGCTTTTCAACGCCTACAGTGTTGGCATTCGCATTTACATCATCACTTAGATTCCAATTCCAGTTATCGTTTGACGATTGTGTACCAAAACTGTCCTCAATTACACTTGTAGTTGTATAATTGGTCGATTGCTGTTCGAACGAATGTTGTTGTTGTGGTGGATGCTGCACGGGCTTATGAATCGGTAACTGCATTGGTTGCTTTTGCTGCTTGCCAGCTGGCACCTGCTCAGCGTCACCACCAATCACATTACCATTATCATTCCAATCCCAGTCGCCCCAGCCTTCGCTTTTAGTCGCATTATTGTTATCGAATATATCAGCGGCTGATTGTGCTGGCTGCTGCTGTTGATATTGTGGCTGCGACTGAAAAAAATTTGCTGCGTCATGAGCTACTTGCTGCTGTTGCGGCTGCTGTGGCGGTTGTGGATACGTCGGCTGCTGTACAGTTGACAGCGGTGGCTGCGGCGGCTGCTGCTGAGTCATTTGATTTGATGTGAAATAATTGTCGTAAGTTGTTTGGTGTATATATTGTGGTTGCTGCTGCTGTGGCACATTATTTGCAACATCGGCTGGCGGCAAATCTGGCGGTTGCCAGATATTATGCGTAACATTGGTATGCGGTTGCTGCGCGGCATATAAGTTGTTGGTATGCGGCTGTTGTTGTTGTTGCTGTTGTTGTTGCTGTTGTTGCTGCTGTAGCGGTTGCTGTTGGTGTGGCCAATTAGTGTTAGCAGTGGCTGCATTAGCTGGCAACATTTTATTTGGCTGCACGTAAGTTGGTTGCTGCCAGGCGGCAGAAGCTGGTGTAGGCTGTTGCTGAAAAAAAGAGAGAAAAAACTGGTTTTATAGACATGTTTATGGAGACTATCTAAGCCCAGAATGTAATATAAAAAACACGCATTAAATTTGCAAAAATTTGGATTTCGAGAGTCAAGCTCAAAATATGTTTAGGTAACTGAGGATAGAAGCGTGTAGAATTAAAAAATATTGTTTTTGGTTCAATAGGACGACTGGGTCATGGAATGGGTTTTGTGAGTACATTGATTTTTTTTTGTTTGTTCGCAAGGTGTTATCAGTTTGTAGGGGAAACATTATTCTTATTTTCTCATTTGATTAACAAATTTAATTCGTTAAAACCATATTTTTAGCTACTTTATTAATCTTCTTCTCAGCTTAAGCGAAATTTTATTTACTTATAGAATTTTTTGAGTGTGTACATAGGTTTCCGAGTAATTCCAATGCAAATTAAATGATAATAAGGTCGTGATCTGGAATATTCAATGCATTTTGCGCGTCAGTGCATTTTTTGAAATGAATAATAAATAATAAATTATAACTTATCAGAATACAAACGCAAACCCAAAATAAAAGCCAAATACGAATAAACAATTTAGCAAATTGAAATAATGAAACCAAGCAAATAAAATGACCGAAAATGCGCCGCTAGAACAACAACTACCGAAAATGCGCGATACTAGTTTTTGTACAAATGCATAAATAATATATATATATATATATGTGTGTATGTATGTACTTATATAAAGCATACATTCATATACTTAGTTACCTTAAGATAAAAATGCCCTATATAGAATTTTTGTGTAGAGTAGTTAAAAAAATTTTTATAAAACCCAAAGTTGTTTCTTCAAACTCCTGGATTTAATAAACACTGAAACTATTTAATTGATAAATGTGTGTTTTTCCAAATGCGATTAGTGAGTAATCTACAGAGTTTTTTACGAAACTGCATTTCGAAACAAAATAACTTGGACCCTTCTATATTAAGGTAACGATATGTACATACGAACATACAAATGTTTGCGCGACTGATGGGACAACACCTCACACAACCCACTTACTATGTGCATACATGAACGAGACCCAGTTAACCCAAATCAAGTTACCTGCTGCAAGTCAATGTGGCCATGCTGCTGTTGGTGTGTGCCACCGTTGGCATGCATTTGTGCTCTCATTGAGTTTTGTTGGTGGTTTTGCTGTTGAGGCTGAGTAGTGTTATTGTTAGCATTTATAGGTTTGCTCAAATATGCGCCAGTGGAGGGGGGAAGGTTAGATGCAAGAGGCGGTACCGGATTCGTATAAGCATTAGTGATGTTGGTGCCAGCAGAATTCGGTTGTGCTAGTGGAGCCTGTGTTGATAAATGCCGATTTGGTTGAGACTGCGGTGGTATTTGATGCTTTTGCTGTTGTTCCGAATAAGAGATTTGCTGATTTGGCGGCTGCTGTAGAGATTGTTGATGCGGTAACAGCGTAGGCGGTAGCGGTGATGCATTTTGTTGCACCCAAGACATTTTTTTTTCTTACAATTTACACACTGAAATTGGAGCTGTTGTGGGAAAGAGAGTTTCGATATATGAAATAATGAATTGGTAATGCAATCAGTAGCCGTGTGTGTGTACATGCACGAGTCGTAGGTTGAACGATATGAATATAGGTTATTGGCCGTACCGGGTTAGAAGAATAGGGAAAACAGAACAATTGTTTAAATATTTGCCAATGCAGTGAATATAGTGGTATGAAAAATGCACAAAAATGTATGTATGTATATTAAAAAAAAAATGGTATGTACTAAATTTTTTAATCACATACAATCCCGAATTGAAGGCAGGCAAATATGTTTCTTTTAACTTAACACATAATTGATTGGTACATATGCACATATAAACAATCAATATGAAAATGCTGAATAATGCCCGAATTCTAACATACGAAGTATTCGTCCCGTACCATTCTACAGCGCAAAACCATATCGACAAGATATGAACGTGAATACGCATTTATATAAAAGTAATATGGGTGCCCGTAATTTAGCCTCATTTAATAAACGGGGTATATTAAAAATGAAACCCCCAAAATTATGGTTTAGTTATGTATGTATATTTCGTTGTTGCTATAAGCGACTCCCATATACTTATTCATATTGTTGTTGTGGTTGCGATGGAGTATGGCATACAGGCATAAACGAAAAAGTTTACGTGGAAGTTTTCTTCTTTGCACTAATCACCACCAACCCCAATTGAACTTTTTACCTTTTACTTTCAATAACCACACAAATTTGCAACACTTTCAACTATTTACAGCGGTTTAGCATATTCTTTACACCATATAGAGTGTTTTAAGCGTTTTTTCGTTGTTTTGCACACAAAATTCCAGGTGATTTTCGTGAAAGTTATAAAATTTCCAAGTGAAAAATTTACACAGTGCAAAATAAAAAGAGCTCAATGCAGAAGGAAGGAAAACACGAAATGTCAAAAAACAATTAAGTGTCAAAACAGAACATAAGAAAATACGAAAATTTATTATACAGGGTTGTATGCCAAACGAATTGTGGGATTTGTATAGTGTGGCTCAGGTTTTCGCAGTTTGTGCAAACTTATATTTAATAATACATTTCCTACAACAATTTCGCAAACATCAGACTGCAAATAAACACTTAAACACGTTAGGTAGTGAAGTTGGCTGCAGAAAACGTCGAAACTGTCATTTTCGTGTTTTAGACAAACAAACGTATGCTTATTGTTGGTGTGATTTCTGCATTTTACGTAGCGTTGACGCTTTTGCTTACTGCCATACCTAAACAAAAGCGTCAGCGTTGTCTGGCTGTCAAAAAATTGTCATGCCCATACAATTTGTATGAAGCATACCGAAACAACGCGGCGTCAACGCTGAGCGGTTGGAAAATCCGATTTTGACAGGGCGTTAGGCATTGAAGTTGGCTGCAGAAAACGGCGAAACCGTCATTTTCGTGTTACACACAAACAAACCTAGGCTTACTGTTGGTGTTATTTCTGCATTTGACGTAGCGTTGTCGCTTTTGTTTAGGTATGGCACTTCGGCGTTAACGCTAGGCGTCAGAAACCGCTCCGCCCAACGCTTTTGTTTAGGTACGGCAGTAATAGCACCCGTATGTCCCCTTGCAGACACGTCAAGTCTTGCTTTCAAGTCTGCTCGTTCGTTGGTGAAGGTGAGAAGAGAGGAGAAGAGTACAGATACCTCCGTACCGTCAATTCGTTTCAAGTTTTCTTGTTCTCTTTTGATCTTTTCGTTGCTTCCCGTTTAAAGAACCAAGTAGTTGTATTCAATAAAACTTGATGCGTGTGGAAGCAAAGAGAAAACACAAAAGAGAATGCGATAAAAATTGCTTTCAAGACTTGTGTCTGAAAGGGGACTATGCGCTTTTGTATCAGCTACACATTTTGCTCAGTGTAATTTTTCTTCACGTCATCTGTCACACATTTGTTTGCCTCTGTGCACACCTTCATACACACACTTGCACATCCCCTTAAATAAAAATTTTCTGCCTTTCACTTTTCCAATTGAACTTACGTCTTTGTTTTTCAATTAGGTATGTTTGATTTTCGGTTTCGTGTTTTCACACACTTTGAAATGCATAATTTCACTTGAACTAAATCTGATGGCACATTCGTTTATCGTCTGCACTCGATTTTAATTCACTAAATGCTTTTCGTTTGACAAAACTGCAATATTTCCGAACACTGCAAACTTCGTGCAATGATGAAGAAAAGTCACCCTGCGTTTTCTGACGTTTCTCTCCTGTTTCAGACGTCTCCGGGAACAGGGTGCACAAGAATCTCTAAAAAGTATAAAACGATTTTATTCGGGGATAAATTTTTAATTCCGATCAGAAATAATCATTAAAACCCACGATTGAGAGAATACAAAGGTTGCGCCGATCTCGGACCGCTCTTAACGAATTTGACAGAATCGTTGTTTGCATGACGTCACACTTGTGCAACTTGTTCACGTTTTCCTTGCAACATTTTTTCTTCTTCTTCCATTCTTGCTCACGTTTTGGCATTTCTATCTCACAATTGCACCAGTGTGACGTCACACAAAAGTTATTCTCAAAAATCCTCTCTGATCGGCGCAATCTTGTATTCTATCATTCTTG